TATATATATATATATATATATATATATATATATATATATAATTTCACACTTGTCTGAGGACAGACCGTGTGCCAGGCAAATCACGGTACAATAATCTTCATAAAAAACGAAAAACCGTCCATGATTGGCTTGTGGGCTGAATACTGCCAGGTTGCCCAGGCCAAGGCCTGGACTAGGGAATGTCCTCAAGCATTAAACCAGGCAAATTGTAATAACCGAAAAAGTTATATAAAATTATTTAAAAAAGCAAGATACCAGCATCCAATAATTAGGAGACATTAAATCAGAAGCATATTCACTGCAATTATAAATAATTAATCCCAACTAATAAATTATTTAAGTTAAATGGCGATTGTTTTCAAGGTGGGTGATGGGTGTGAACCGGAGCTACTGAATCATCAAATGACCCAACGCGGATACGTAGAAGAAAGCATCGACCAGCATTTCTCAACATTAAACATCATCAAAAACGAAACAGACTATCTTACACCACTTATAATCCAGCATTTTCAGTTATCGTGCATGTAAATGAACATCGTTCATTCTAGCAAGTATTCTTCTGACCAGGAAACCGAATCCGGATTGCAATGACAACAGGTATGCACAAAAGAAATCGGGCAGAAGCCTTTGCACGCATTCGTTTGTAAGCGCAGAGAGACTAAGGTGAATCGTGTGCTGTTGTTGAGTTTAACTGCATTGTATGATTACTTATTAATCCGGTCCAGCTACACAGACACACACACCCACTACCACCAATGTTAAAGCGGCACGACACCTCAGTTCAAGCCCAGACTATTTCACGCATGGATATACAGAATTTTAGTGTGATGAAGATAAAATGAAAAGATAGCGTATGTTCGTTTACGAGGATTTGGAAACTAAGAAACAAAGACGAAAAAAGTGATCTTTGACAATATGACCAAGGAAAGCGATCAGAGAACTGGAGAAGGGTCGAACACGCAGATTGTGAACGGAGCCAGGGGGAGAGCAAAGGACATAAATGACTCAGTTGTTGATTGGGTCGCATTTCAACGATTAGAAACGCATGGAACGGGGGTAAGGGTGGATTCGATTTGATTCCAAGGTGAGATCCATAATGCCAGGGTGTTCCATCATGGACCAAGTGTTCGCGACTGAGATCCCGGGGCATAGACTAAGATCCCCATAAAATCTTAATCTACCAACGATAATGACACACAACTGCAGATGACTGGTACCGACGATACTGACATCACAAGGTATGTCAGTGTGTATTACAGTTTGTTCACGCTACTTATATGGTGTGGAGAGGGAATAAAACCAAAAAAAACATTGTTACAATGAGGGAGGGTACAAGATTGTAAGGTGGTGGAGTATTAACAGAAATGGCCGATTAGATAGAAGAGAATAGATGTCAACGTCATCTGAATAATCGCGATTCATCAGATACAAACGAGAACAGTTCGGATGGAGGAGAGGGAGGAACTTACCGTGGAAAAGAAGGCGCGAAACATGACCTAAATGGAGCAACGAGATGCGAAAGATAGGCGGGGGGAGGGAATAAAATCCAACTGATTTGACTCCCGAGGGAATAATGTGTACAGGAGGAGAACAGGGAACGAGGTGCCGATGCAGATGAAAACTGTGGAACATAATGATGATGGCGGACAAGTGGAGTGGCGGCTGATGGATGGAGTGATGATGGTGTCAGAGATCCAAACGACAATTAGTCAATGACTGATTCCGTATCCCGGCGAGAAAGAAAGAAATCACAAAACAACCGGGATACGCATGCACGTGCGCGCGCGTGCACGCACACACAGTGGAGAACGTTTCAGGTCAGAGAAAGGGAGGAAAAAGAAACACGAATAAATGAACATCTGGTCAACAATCGCTTCGCGTTTAGCGAGCATCCCTCCCCCCCTCCCCCTTGCCCAGACCACAAGAGTACGTGAGTGGCAATCGGATATCAGCACAACATTCGGGTGATCTGGATGTTGGAAGACAGCCAAAAAAAGGAACCAGTAGCAGACAGTTCTAGGATGATGATGATGATAATACAGACATGCAGTAGCGGCAACAACGGTAATATGAACGGCGAATGAGTTCAAGCAATGCGGAAGGCAACTGTTGATCCAATAGGAAAATCGCATGGCAACAACAAAAGAACTCAGCGCACAAATTTCGTCGAATCGCAGTTATGAATGTGAGCGGGTGTGTACGAGACAGCA